CCACCCCCCACCCCACCCCCCGCAGCAGTGTGAGGACCTTCACAGGACCCTCAGGGCTGTGGTGCCCGCCTCTGGACCGTGCAGAGCTCTTGGGTGCACAGAGCTGCTGATGTGATTAAGGTGTCGTTTCCATATTTTCCCTGCACGGATCGGGACGAGGCGAGGGGCAGAAGGTGCTGACAAATGGCCATCTGTCCCTCTGGCTGGGGCAGTACCCTGGATGTCGAGGCAGGCCTGCTGTGGCCTGGGGCAGATGATGAAGTTGGCCTTGTAGTTAATAATAACCAGTTACGTTGGGTGAAGGTGGTTAAATAAAAGTTTCCGTGGCATGTCCAATTAGACAAGTGTTTGAAGTGTACTGTAACTAGCTTTAGGACAGCACCTTTGTGCAAATAGATTGCAACATGTTTCACACTGAAATTAAAGTCTTTGCTGCTTTGGTAGTTGCTGAAGTTGAACCTTAGTTTAGCTTTGAGTTGCTATATCCTCATGTCTTGGCATTCAGTGAATCTTGTAGGCCTTTAAGTGAACTTCAAGTGTAGGCACTGACCGGTTGAGATGGTTTTTATTCATAGGAATAGGACTATGTGATAAAAGAAATACAGTCTAGGAATATAGTTAAAGAACAAGAAAGATAACAGGGGTTTTAGGCATAACTTTCCTGACAATGCGTTAGGGCTTGAATAACAATAACTATTTTAAAACCCATCTATAATAGCAGTATTATTATGTGTATGAAGATAGTGCAAAACAACAATGGGACTCTTGCATACCATTTATCATATAGATAGTATCCCAAGAGGCACCTAGTTAGTTCTGTATTGACATAGTAAGACAATAAATAGTATTCCCTCATAGAGTGAATAAACAAGCATTCTTTTAAGATAGTTTCCTTTCTTGTATTGAATTTTATTCTTCTTAGCAGTTAGTATCATTATCTTAAGGCCTTGATTTGTTCTTACTGCGGTACACTACATTATCCTCTATTTGTGGATGGCTTCTCTGGATTGCAGGAAGATACCAAGGGTGGTCCTAGTGGAGCTGGTAAGGTCAGCCTCTGCACTGTGCGGAATGGGCTGTGCTGCTTCCAAGATCAGGTCGCGCTCGAAGCTGTTCGGCCACTATCTCATCATGAGCGATGCCTGAATTGAGAAGTTCTGAGGATCTGAAGTGCTTCTGTGGCTGGTTCGCCTGATTAAACACTGTGCCCTCCAGTGCGCTTGTTTTTGAAGTGGCTTGCCGGTGAGGCACATTGTTACATGGAGGCCAGGGCTAGCTTCTGTCTATGCTGTTGAGCCCTTGGGAACAGGAGGCACTGGGGAGGGCAGAGCCGAGCCAGAAAAAGGAGGTGCATGGTGCTGAGCTTGTGGCAGCTCTTGGTGGGTGCGGTTGTCCCCCATTCTGCAGGTGCCTTCTGAGGTACCCTGTGAACAACCTAAACAAGAGGAGTGTTTACTGTTTGTGTTTTGAGGCAGAAAGCAGAAATTCTAAACAGAACTCCACAAATAGCTTTTAAAACCAGTTCTTATAGTGAGGTGTTGTTCCATTACTAATATAAAAGATTACACATATATTTGGTGTTTTTTTACTTTTTCATGTACAAACGGTTTCTAGCTTGATTCTGAGAAGTTTCCTCCTTTGCCTTTTGGGGAGGAGCACACTTTGATCAGATTAAATTTCCAAGTGGTTTAATGGAAAAACCAGTTATCTTAATAAGCATTAAAGCAGGCCTAGCACAAGTGAGCACTATAATCAAAACAAGTCCAAGAATAAGGAGGAAAAAAAAAAGGTAATTTAGTCAGGTGAATAACTGCGTACTCACTAGCTATTAAAACATATGCAGTATAAACTAGAAGAGAAACAAAAGCCTGGAACTGTGCCTAGATGTTCCTTGGCAAATGAAGGGGGGAATTAGGCTCCTGGCTCTCGACTTCAAATCCATTCCACTGGGATGTGCACTTCGCTACTCACACCTTACAGGGTGTGATGAGTAGATGCCAGCTATTACTTTTTTTTTATAAATGCTTTTCCTGCTTTCCCAAAAGTTGTAAACCCAAACCATCATGCTTTGGTAGCACCAGTTAAAATCAGTGTTTCATACACAAAGAGATAAAAAGTAATGCAATACAGCATAAGGACTTAGAGCAGGATATCTGGTTAGCTCTTGGTTTATTATTATTTTTTTCATGCCCGTTGTTGTACTTCTTGGTTTTGAATTATTCCTCTATTTGCTTCCAACACAGATTTTACTGAGAGAGAATAAAGATAAACTTTATATGCACCAAAAAAAGAAATTTCATTTAAGGGATATGGGCTAACACCTAAAGTGCAGAATTTCTACAGTGATCATTTTAGGGCTTTTTAGCATTTTATTTTCTAGTTACAGGTATATGGTTGATACTAGTATAGGTGAAGTTCTGTAGCTGGGCCAGTAGAACTTTTCAGTCAAGGCAGTGCATAAACTGAAGAAGTCATGTGTTCTGAGAGGAGTTTACAAGAGCTAGATTAGGAAAAGTCTTTTTCATACAACTTTAAATAATCATATGACATTATGATCTATCAGATATATATAGTATTTAAACCACCTGAATCCAGTGTAACTTTTTGCTTAAGCAGATTCTTTGCTTAAACTCTAATGCAGAATTGTTTTGATGTAACAACAACAACAACAAAATCACAGTTCTAACTAGTTGTAACTTCTTTCTCATGCTGTCTGATGGATTCAGGTGCTCAGTTTTCATTGCATTCACTCCTGTTTTTAGCCTTCCCTTAAACAAACAGTTGAATGAGGCTTGTAACTTGGGCAAAGCTGTGCAAGACAAAGAGCTTCTGTTGTGGGGCTGTTCTTAAATATTGACTATTTCCGAAAGTGCTTTATTTTGATTCAGCTTTTCCCATTGGAATTACAGCATCTTGTGTTACCTTACACTTTCGTGGATTTCATGCAGGAAGGTATCCTGTGGTTTAAGAGGTTGGTGTGTAAAATGGGAACATTCTCTCCTATTTCTGACTGCGTGGTAGTAAGAACAACAAGCTTGTGATCAATATTCTTGATTATTTTGGAGTAATTCTTTTGTAATTTGATATAACACATATTCATCCACTGCATGGAAAAAAAAAAGTTGATTTTTAAACAAAAATTGAGTTTTAAAGATAAGTATTTAAGTCAGGAAATGGCAAAATCGTCTCCTTGCTGAGTGGTGAATTTTTCATCCTTGTTTTTCTGCTTAGCATAGATGCTTTATAATGGCCTGACACCACTTTTTGAGAGAGTCTCTTTTTCAATGCCTTTTCTGTCCTGTTCAGTGTACAGGGTAGGTAGTAATTGCTTAAAGAGCAACTGCGTAATACTCTGTTTGATGGATGCAGCACCTTGCTCTCTGCTGTTCACTGTTGTGGGGAGAGCATCCTCTGGCAAAGGGAGTGTGCCCAGTGGGTTCTGAGGGATAGACTTCTGTCCCTGGTAAGTTTTGGAGGATGAATGTCGTACCAGTTTGGTCCTTGTGATCATTAGGAAGTGAAAATCTCTTTTTATGAATATTGAAAGAGAAAGGATAATATTAATTGGCATTTTTAACATTTGAACATTTGTTTTAAACCATTTTTCTCTTCCCTCTACACTCCATAACCTTCTCTGTTACTTTTATTCAAACAAAAGTGAGTCCCGTTTTGTGGGGGCAGGACTGGATTCATCACACAGATCTCTATAGTTGAGCTGAGAGAATACTGAGCTCTTAAACCAGCATGTTCCATATGGGCCTAGCAAAACTAGGAGTAAGATGTGTTTTGTGAGATGTGAGGTGTTTTGCAGTTTCTGAGGAAAGAGCAATGGAGTGAGACATTTCAATTACAGCTCTTTAAGGTAGTAGCTTAGGGGGCATGTGTCCTTCTACTTTTTTTTCTTCCTTAATTCTCTTAAATCGCTTAGTCCTCCATCACTTCTTTTCCCAATACGTCTTTGTTAGAATGTTTTCCTCTCTCAATGCAGTGCTTATAACTTTTTTGCTTGAAGACCCTTCTCATACTATGGGGGTGCTAGACATGATCTTTCCTTGGTTCATCTGTCTGGCTGCACTGTTTAAGAGCAGCTGGATGGCTTCTTTGCACTTACTCGTGTGCTCTGGAATAGTATATTGATTTTATCTAGAAATATTACAACCAGTGTGTTTGGTAAGGGTGGAATTCTTCTCTTAGCTGTTAAATGAACATTAATAAGTGGCCAAATCTGGAAGAGTCCCTGTGAAGACTGCAGTGTAGAGTTAGGATGTCACCTTTTCTAAGGTGACCATTGGGTTACCTTTTTTAAACTTCAAGCTCTTCTTTTAAAGTTTATTGAAACACTAGCAAGGCTACCATATGAAAAAATCAAACACTGAGAAGGGTTTTCTCAGTGGAGAAAAATTGTTTTGAGGTGTTTTCTGACAAATACATGTTTTGAAAAAAAATTGACATTTTTCAGATTTTTGCCCCAGCCTGAATTATTTTTGGAAAGTAAATCTTCAACTTGACTGATTGAAATATGGCAGAGGTTTAGAACACTGCCAGTCAGGCTTTAAATGGGATGCACTCAGCAACTTCAGGAGTGCTAGCAGCTTACAGACCAACCAAGAGAGAAGGTCATACTCATTCCTTTTGCGTGTTAGTGTGTTCTTGCATTAATGTTTTTCTCAAATAAAAAGTGTAAAAGTTGTTGACTTCTCCCTTTTCTCTTTTGGGTTTAGGTTATTCAGCTTCTGAAAGCTGGGAAAGCAAAGGAAGTTTCTTACAATGCACTGGCTTCACATATAATTTCAGAAGATGGGGACAATCCAGAAGTTGGAGAATCTCGTGAAGTTTTTGATCTCCCTGTGGTAAAGGTGAATGACTCATCAATGATATTGTCAAAGTACTGAGATGGATACTTAAGTATTATGACAGAAAATGCTCATGTTTGGATGATGACCAAATGAAACATATCTTTAAAGATCTTTTATTTTTGTTATACGAACATTTTTATCCTGACTGGTAGACTTCTGTTGCAGTTCTGTTCCCTCCTTTCTCTTGTTCCTCTGTATCAATCAGTGGTTTGGGTTGTGTTTTTTTTGTTGTTTGTTTGTTTTGTTTTGTTTTGTTTTCCCCCATTCTTCCTTCAATGATGTGCGAGATGGTGTCCTATTTCCTTTACTTTAGAATTGTTTCTGATGGGGAGGTTCTTACAAGCTTCTGGCAATGGAAAACCTCAATTTAGAATAAGTGGTAGACTGCTGAGGGGCTTTTTTTAAACACATATAATTGGCAAGGTGCAGAATGATTTTGTTGATTCTACATAGGTATACTATCCTATTTTTAAACACTAGGAATTTGTAGAAAAATAGATTCTTTTTCTCTCAATTTTTCAAGGTTTTTTTTTTTTTGTTTTCATTTTTTTTTTCCGTACTTGTACTGGGATTACTGGTACTTTGTTAGTATCTTGGGTTATTTTTCTAGTGAAAGATTCTGGGCTTCATGTTTGAAAATGTGAACTTGTCACTCTGCAAGTAATAAGAATTACTTGCAGAAAACCCACTAGTATTTCACTGCCAGTACCTTTGGGTACATGATTTTGGGTTATTTCTTCCATATAGTTGCAGGTGGCAGTAGAGAATTTTGGTAGCTCAGGTCATGAGACTTTACCTGTCAATATAAAAATATGCATTAATACAAAAAAAATAAAAGGTGCTTAGCTAGAGACCTGATGGCTCTACTGGGTGTGCCGATAAATTTTTAGTTGCTTTTTCTGAAGTGTTCTGTGGCATAATTCTAATCATATAAACAAGAAAGCTGCTGCCATTCTCAAGTGCAGGAAGGACATCAGTGTCCTAACAGTGCTTGCTGATTTCTAATGACATTTACTTAAATTTAATTTGATTTATAACTGCTACTAGCTGAACTTTTTAATTTGCCAAATGAGAGCAAGTCTTATAGTAATGTCACTTAGTTTGACCTGAAAACAATCACAGCCTGATTTGTAATCAAGAAGATTAGACTAAGTATTGAGGCAGAGGTAGCTTGTTAGAATAAGGAAGAGAAAACTTTGAGGGAAGAAAATGGAAAATCTCTTTTTTCTTTCTCCCCCTCCCCCCCCCGCCCCCCGAGGATTGAGGAGTTATGAATGAAATGGTTTTAGTCAATTTTCTTTGTGCATGCCTTCTTCGGAGAGAAAGGGAATAGCAAGAATTCAGATACCATAAACATAGCTACCACAATATATTTTGGTTTTGTTTATATTTTGGTGAAAAGTAATCTCATACTGAATGTGATGGCACTTTTCCCCTTTTTCCCTTGTATGCTGTATTGGGACCACTGTCCTACATCTCCTTCATTCTGCACTACCTCCCTCTCCCTTCGAGCCGTTCTGTCCTAGAATACTGTCAGTTAGGGGCTTGTGTGCTTAGCAGCCAGCATTGCTGTGTGTTTAGAAACTTGTAAGGTTCTTGACTCCATGTGATGAGTGTAAGGGGGTTTTGTGTGGGGTTTTTGTTTGTTTTTTGGGTTTTTTTTTTGAGCAGGGAGAACTAAAAAAAGAGGGTGAATAAGTACTGTGAATGGCACAATAGAAGAAGACAGAAGGGGTCTTGCTCCCATATTGCTGCACAACCTGTAAGCAATCTTAGAAGTAAATCAGAAGAGTCTTCTTCTGTAAAGCCCTAAGTACAATGTCTGAAACACTTAGACTTTCAAAGCTGGGAGATGCATACTGAAACTAGCTACAGTATGAACTTGGGAGGTAATTCATATTTCGTACATGCAGATCAACGTTTTTAATATGTTGTGGTTTTTATTTTTCAGCCTTCATGGGTGATCTTGTCTGTTCGCTGTGGAGCTCTTCTGCCGTATCCTTTAAATTTGAATTTGAATCAATTCAATGGGAAACATGTTAAAATAGATACCATCAAGGGATTAAAGACAGTTTCACGTTCTGTACAGCTTAACTTTTTAAAATGATGGGATGTGTTTTGCCTGCCACGATTAAAGTGTGCTTGGAGCTTCTCGTCTTACTTTATTTTTCCTGTCCCTCTTGCTATTTTGGATGTTTACTAGGCATTTGCAAGAAAATTGTCATCACTGGATTCAAAGCATTTTAGCTGGAAGTTAATAATTAACTGTGAGGATCCAGGAGAAATGCTAGAGTGCAGTAAGAGGGCAAATGATAGCTCAGACTAGAATGGTCTATTCTACCTTTTGTAGAAGCAGACTTAAGTAGGGGATAAATATGCAATAACTCATATCAACAACGTATTGTAAATATCACTTTAAAAACAGGTAATGTCAGTATTCCCATTTTTGGGATAGCCTGTCCTTGCCTTTGGTAGACCCTTGTTGTTTATGTTTGGCTTGATCTAGTTCTTGTTTGGAGCATTTATTCTTGCATAGGGATGACTTATTTTTTTCCTCTTCTTGTCACGTATTACCATTTCTTCTTTCTTTATGTTCTAAATTTTTATATTGCATCATAGGAATAGTGAGAATGGCTAGAAAAAAATAATGCATTTTTTTCGCACACCATTTGCGATAAAGATTTTGTATATGGAAAAGCTGAAGCAGAGCAATACATTTCAGTCCAGATATGAGTGGATCATTACAACAAACAATGCCAGGGTTAGGGAGGTATGCTGTCAGGCATGATATCTCATTTTTGGAATAAGATTAGCAGATGGTTGTGTCTCTAATGGAAAACAAGAGGTGGTAGATACAAGGATCCAGGTGTTTGTATTAGGAATTCAGATATGAATGTGTGTCAGTGATTCAGAATTTGTGTTTTATACCCAGTATTTCAAGGTATGTACCTTTGCATTTTGCTGTGTCTCCACTGTTTTGAAAATAGCCTTTATTTTCTCTACTTACCCAGAAGAATTCAGCTCAGGGAGTGAACTGTAGGAAGAGAAAGCATCAAGTTCATCAGATAAAATGATATAGTGAGGTCTTTGCAGCTATTTTGATCACAATAATCAACAAGTCAGATAGGATTCAGCAGTTAGTATGGAACACTTGCTGTAGTCACAGATAGTTTTCTGACTGAAGCAGAAGAGAGTTTTCCGTGAATGACTTCGCTTCCAAATGGAAAAAATGCACCAAGCATTATACGGCAAAACCCAAATTAGCATGGCTACTCCTGTATTAAAAATAATCTGATTATTGTGATGTGATCTGGGCTAGTGTTTTTTGTCTTTTGCATCTGGAAATAATAAATATGTTTATCATCCTTTCATCATCAGGATGGGAATGTACAGTTGCTTATGTCACGTGTCTGTAAGCCTTTTCCCTGTTCCTGAGGGCAGGTTGAAAAAACAACAAAATAATTTGGAATTAGCTGCATTTTCAGGCTTAAGTCATCTGGCATTGCTTTATTAATGGTGTTCTTTCCTGAGGTGAAGTTGTGTTATTAGAAAATTGGTCTTCCATCTGAAACCAGGGGTTTTTTCAAAGGGTACTCTACAAGCTGATGTAATTACATACCCAGAAGAGAAATCAACAGATAAAACCACTGAGTGATGCAGTCCATAACTAAATTGTAGCAATAAATGTGTGAATGTAGTCCTCAATGGCTATTGCTCAGGAAGTCCTTATTGTGGGTGTATAGGAGTGGCCAAATAAAAAGACCATATCCTTGAGTTGCATGGAAGTAGGAAGATTGTACACCTGTCAGCAATAAATGTGTCCTCGGACCTTTGCCTTTATTCTTTGTAGCTCTTCATGTCCTTAGAACCTGGTGTTTTTAGATTTTATTCTGAGCCTTACAGTACTTACTAAAATGGGTTGTTAAGTCTTTGTTCTGTTTCAGTCTTTTCATGACTTCTAGTGCTGTGGCATCTGGCCTTTCGTTAGGGTTTTAGGTACTACCATAATGAAAAAAAAATATGGTAATTGATAGGAATAGCTGTCTTTTTGGACCCTCTTTAGTTAGAGGTTTGAGATTCTACATTTTTGTCTTTTATCTTTTAATTTGGAGATGTAATGCTCAGCATGGTCATTGAATTTCTGAAGAAACAAGTCCTAGAAACGTCTTCTGTCAGTTAGATGTATGGATCTAATAAAAGCCTTAAAGATTTTATGTTGGCTTGCTAATTCCGGTACTTACTCTATGGGCATCTGTTGTTAAAGGTGAAGCTTAATGTAGAGAGGCTTAATACAATACAAAAGCATAATATTTTTGCCAGTTTCTTGTAAATACATTTTAACATCCCACTGTGAAAATTGTTTTCACCAGGGGAACTTCAGAAGGCAGAGTGATCTGTTCCCTGCCAGCTGATGTTCGCAATACCTGACCTGCAGTTGAAGGAAAGTAACAGAAAAATTAATAAGGAAGCAGCCTTTGTGAAGAAAGAAAGGTGGTTTCTTGTGTGAAAACCTCAGTTACGATGCCATAAAGAGGGATGGTTATTTCTTTTTTAATTCTGTTGATAGTAGCAAAAGCAAGAGTGATGAAGGTTTATTTTTTCAGTCTTGTACAGATGAAAGAGGGTTACAGCCCTTCTGAATTTTTTGTTGCTGGGAGAATGAGTTCTGTTTCATTCCCTCTTTTTTATTTTCCAAACCCATGTGGAACAGTATTGTTGTGCTGCTTGTAACTATTTTAAGAGGGTACATTTCACTGCTGTTCTTTGGAGAGTGAAAGCTGTAGTCAGACTGATGGACCTCTTACATACCAAGCTATTGCTGTTAACATGCTAGGAGTGTAAGTTAAGGCAGGGACTAGACAACTGTACTTTTTTGAAAGATCCATTACTTAATCTCTACCTTAGATGAGATACTGAGCAACACAGTGAAATTTAGTACGTTGATCTGACTTGAACTTTTTGGTAATGGCAGTAATCTAGTCTTAAATTTTAAAGTGCTCTGGGCTTTGTCAGCTTGCTGTGTGTTGTCTTTTCTGGGTCTCAAGATCTAAATGTTGCTGGTGCATCTGTCAAAAGCCCAGGGAAAATAATTTTGTTTTGAAAATCTCTCTGTGTACTGGTAACACAGTGCACATCTGTTTCTGTAGCTATTTTTTCCAACAAGATGTGCATGTATATTAAACACAAATCATGTGGAAGTATAGAAAAAGGAGGGAAGTTACAGAAGTCACATGGTCCGTCTGTCTTTCCCAGGTCACTTCTGTCAAACCATTCTCTCTCCTGTTTCACATGGCCTCTCCCATAGTGGAGATTTCATCGTTTTGCCAGTCAACTTGCAGTGTTTAGCTATTGTGTTGCCAGAGTTTTAGCCCCATTACCGTGCTGCAGTCAAACCCTGTTTTGATTTATCAGAGCCACTCTGAACAGGGAGAACAATCATAGAATAGAATCCTAGAGTTCAGATTTGAAAAGACCTTTAAGATCTTCAAGTCCAACCATTAACCTAGCACTGCCAAGTCCACCATTAAAGCCAGGTCCCTGGGTGCCACATCTACACATCTTGTAAATATCTCCAGGGATGGTGACTCCACCACTTCCCTGGGCAGCCTTTTCCAATGCTTGACAATTCTTTTGGTTAAGGAAGTTTTCCTAATGTCCAATCTAAACCTTCCCTTGGTGAACTTCAGCGTGTTTCGACTTGTCCTATTGCTTGTTACTTGGGAGAAGAGACTGATGCCCACCTCAGTACAACCTCGTAGTAGTTGTAGAAAGCATTAAGGTCCCCCCTTAGCCTCCTTTTCTCCAGGCTAAACAACCCCAGTTGCCTCAGCTACTCCTCTTAAGGCTTGTTCTCTAGACCCTTCACCAGCTTCATTGCTCTTATTTGGACACACTCCCGCACCTCAGTTGTCTCTCTTGTAGTGAGAGGCCCAAAAGTGAACACAGTATTCAAGGTGCAGACTCACCAGTGCCGAGTACAGGGAGGTGATCCACTTCCCTGGTCCTGCTGGCCACACTATTGCTGATACAGGCCGGGATGCCAGTGGCCTTCTTGGCTGCATGGGCACAAAACGGGCCC